AGCCCAGACACTTTCCACAAAATGGCTGCCATTCCAGAGTCTCGTCACATCACAGCTGTCATCTCAGAGTCAAGTCACGTCACAGCTGATCTTCCTGAGTCTCGTCATGTCTCAGCTGATCTTCTAGAGTCACGTCACATCTCAGCTGAACCTCCAGGGCCTCATCACGTCTCAGCTGATCTTCCAGAGTCTGCTCACGTCAAACCTGCCAAGCCAGTGGCTGCTCACGTCAAGTCCGCCAAGCCAGAACCTGCTCATGTCATGTTGATCATGTCCAGAGCTTTAAAGTCAGTTCCAAGGCGTCCAGTGTGGCAGACCCACCATTGGTTTCGGCCAGAATAGCGGGCATTCCAAGGACCTCAGCACAGGTCTTTCCAGAAACTATTCCCCTAGACTCAGTGCTCCCTGAAATTGGGTTCACTATCCTGTGCGTTTGGGATACTCACTGCTCAATTACTCCTCCTGAGCCCGCTCCAGTCCCTGAGTCCGCTCACGAGCCCGCTCTAGTCCCTGGGTCCACTCACGAGCCCGCTCCACTTCCTGAACTCACTCCAGAACCTCCAGAGGTGGTGGCACTCGCTGTAGAACCTCCAGAGGTGGCGGCACTCGCTGCAGAACCTCCAGAGGTGGCGGTACTCACTGCAGAACCTCCAGAAGAGGCTACTTGTGAACTCTCTGACTGTCCTGTTACGGCCAAGAAGGCAATTTATGAAATTTATCGTTGACCCGCCCTCGCCTCAGGACTACACTCCTCCGGCTTGGCCTTGTCCCTCCGTCCCTCTGGCTCCGTTATGCTCCTCTGTCTCTGGCTCTGCCTTGGTGCTCGGCTGCTTCGGCTCCACCGCGGCCTTCCGGAACCCCACCTGTGCCTCAGTCGCCAGAGCCGTCGGCTCCACCATGGCCCTCCGATCCCTCCGTGTCACCCCGGCTCTTCAGCTCTCCGTCTTCGCCTTGGGCTCCCCTTCCACCAGGTCCGTCTCCGTCAGTCGGACCCCTGATGCCTCCAGTTTCACACCCTTCATGGTTCCTCCCTCCATCAACTCCACCGTGGACTGAGAGTTGGTCTCTTAATTCTGTTTGGAGCGTCTAGAAGCCGCTCATAGTGGGGGGGGGGTATGGGGGACTGTCACGATAGTGGGTCTCGTCTTTGTTTTCTCCGGACTCCATTTCCCATAACACCTGCCTAGGAACTCATTATCACACCACACCTGTTTCCTATCAGTGACACTATAAAGGTTGCACTCATCCACACACACATGGCTGATTATTCTTAGCCTGTTATGTTGTCTAGTTTCTGCCTTGTCTTGCGTTCGTGTTTTGTTCTTGGACTGTTTACCTGCTTTGTGATCATTTACTGCCTGTTCTGTGGATTACTCTTTTTGATTACCTTGGATGTTTTGCTGGTGTTTTGACCCTGCCTGTCCGACTACGCTCTAAATAAATTTGCAGATGGATCCTCAACTCTGTTGTCACACCTCCTCCGTTACAGCTAAACCGCATAAAGTCTTTTTTTCTTACTCAGTTTGAGTATCCCAACATCTCAAGTCATTAGAGCCCATAACCTACTGGTAAAACATCAACAGCAAGGTTATTGAAGTAGTATCCATCCATCAGCTCTGGTTCGATGCCATCACTCCATTTTTTCACTTCTTTCTCAAAAGCATTGGATAACCAGTTTCTGATCTCATTCTGATGAGAGAAAATAAGCAATAGGAATTATAATTTAAAGCATGCAGCATTAACTGATATGAGAGAGAAGAACATTAACACCGTATCTACGCCGGATATGAGCAGCACGTCCTGTCAAAAGCAAAAGCGAATTCAGCAAATGGTCAGATACTTACTTACTACAAACTTACTACAGATACTTGTGTTACTTCCGACAACAGGACAAATGGTTTTGCTTTTATACACTGAACAAAATGATAAACGCAACACTTTTGTTTTTGCCCCCATTTTTCATGAGCTGAACTCAAAGATCTAAGACTTTTTCTATGTACACAAAAGGCCTATTTCTCTCAAATATTGTTCACAAATCTGTCTAAATCTGTGTTAGTGAGCACTTCTCCTTTGCCGAGATAATCCATCCACCTCACAGGTGTGGCATATCTAGATGCTGATTAGACAGCATGATTATTGCACAGGTGTGCCTTAGGCTGGCCACAATAAAAGGCCACTCTAAAATGTGCAGTTTTACTGTA